GTGAAAAAAATTCGACTACACCTCCATCAGAAAGACTAATAAAATGTATGTATAAAGGTTACATATTAATTCCCAAGTACTGAGTCTTGTGACCACATTGAAAAATCAAATACAAGCTACTTTGGACAAAAATACCAGCGTACAATCTGAAAACGAAAATTTTAACTGGCATGCAGGTATTCATAAACTGGGAAGAGACTTAGAGAATTGACTGGGAGAGAGGAATCAAAACTGAATTTATTTGTCAACAAAGTTTATTGTCTTAAAGAAGGAATAAGCAGAGAGCCAAGTAAGAAACTGCTGGAAATTACCTATATACAGAAGAAAAATATCCACCATGGGAACTACTACAAGAGGCCCCAACAATTGAAAGTAACCTGGTACCCATGGGAATTTCAGGCTACATTCTTGTGAATTTATTTTGAGAATTGCCAGATTGCTTTGGGGAGTTTGTTTTCTTCCTCTCTTGAATACATATGCAACTAAATTTGTGTTTGCATCTCTAGGAAAAAAAAAAATAACAGGACTTGCAGAATTTGCTGAGCATCAGCAGTTCTTTGAAGATGATGGCAGGTGGCAAATATTTAGCATTTTTGAGGATTAGGAGTTGCAATACAGATTTTTTATTTTCTCTCTAGATTTACAAAAAATCTTGGGCAATGTCCTGCCAACAGAAACAATACTTCCCAAGACAACAGGAAAAGGCACTTATGGCAGGAAAAAAAATGCCCTAAGTTTTTTGTTGTTGTTTTGTGAGCTTTTAAAAATTTATTCTGCCTCTAGCCTACAAAGGGAGAGGGAATGGAAAACTGCTGTTAAGTGTGCAGTATAAGAAAACACTAAAAAGAAGTCTAGTCCATAAAGTCTGGAAGTATAGAGATCATCACACAGATAATTTTACACTTCACATTTAGTCACACAGATGCTTTGTCTCTGATATACATAGAAAAAATAACTCCTTTTCCCCTCAGGTATATCCTACTGCTTTGGAAAGTAAGATATACTTATTTTACCCACTCTTTATCCAAGTCACCCCACTCTGACTTGGATCACCAATTTCAATCAATTTGCAAATGATTACACCTAGTCCAGGCAACGCAAACTCAGGCTCAGTGACTTAGTAGCAGCTTGCAAACAGTTTTCCTTACTGCCTCTAAAAGACTTAACTCCCAGACAGGAAGGCTGAGCCTTGATGGCCTTAACATAGCCCACTGGCATGGGAAGGGAGGAGTACAGCACCTGGAGCATGGGTGTGGCAGTGACGACTGAATGCCTCTGTAAGGAAAACAGAGAGACAAGGGCACCAAACACGCTCCAAATGCAACGTCGTTTTTGAGATTACAAAGCTTCACTACACTGGCAGCCTGCGGCTCAGCCTATTTCATGAGGATCCCATGGTGCTCACACACACAGCAAGGCTGTCGCTCAGCTCAGAAACCTCACACACTACCCCTCCTCCGTGTGTTCTCCGAACCCCCTCCTGTGGAAATTCAAGGCTACTTCAGCTGCAGAATTTTTTTTCCCCCTCAGAGGGCTAATCACTACAAAATGACAGAATATTCTGAGTTGCAAGGGACACAAAAGGATCATCGACTCCAACTGTTAAGTGAACAGCCCACACAAAGATCAAACCCGCAACTTTGGCATTATTAGCACCACGTACTAACCAACTGAGCTTATCTCAGAGAACTGAAAGAGAATAAACTCCACCCCAAAGAGACAAAGAGTCCCAAAAGAAGGCAAGCTGCACACCCTTCTCCCTCAACCATCGCTCCTCCGCTGGCCAGGCACAAAATGCATCTAAGCTACGCCAGGAAAGGGCTACTTGCAAAAGTAAGCCTGCCTGCTCTGCAGGAAGACCCAGGGGCTGCTGACATCCCCCGACCCTAAGGAAGTACGGCAGGTGGCTGTCAAAGCAGGCAGGTCCATCATACAGCTCTTGCCAAGACTTACTGTTTTTAACCACGGCCAGCAGCTGACAGGGAGGACAACAGGAATGAAATCTTCAGACACCTAGGAGCTCATAGGATCTTGTAGCCTGCAAGCCTCTAATAATTTTTTTCCTCTTTTTTTTTCAGTCTGAAGGCATGTGACCGGCCCTCACATACCAGAGTTGACCCCTCCCAAAGCCAGCAATTTCCTAAGAGCAGAGAAGGATGTTACCCTCCCGCTTATTCATTACAAGGCCAGGTCATTCTTTATCCTTACGCATCAAAAGCTCACTCTCCGTGTGAGGTATACTCTGGATCCCTCTGGACAGGTGCCGAAGGGGCTATGGTGCTCAGCTACTTAACAGGGGGGCATGACCACGGGAGCCCCGGCTCCTCTTTTCCCAACTGGCACACGGCTTTCAGTTTCCAGGTGAAAAACTACCAGCTCTTTGCTCTCAAGTCGGCCGTCCCCTTGTGTTCTGGGCCAGGAAGAACTGCTCGTGTTTCACACTGCTCCCCCAGTTAACTAGTGCCGGTACTTGGAAGCATGCTCCCTCCCAGCCACTTTTTATATTGCCGAAATACCACGGCACAAGGCACGGCTGAGATTTTGGTTTCGGTTTTTTGCTCCCTCGGCTTGGCAGTACCGTTTCCGGAAAAGGCGAGGGGTCTCATGCTCCTTGCTGTCCCGCACTGCCACACTACCCTGCTCCCAAATCCCCAGCTCCCGAAACGCCTCCGCTTCCCTTTTCACTTGCCAGTATCCACATGCCGAGGCCCCACAGCAACGCCCCCCTCTGGGAGGGGCTTCTCCCGCCGCTCTCCTCCAGGCGGGGGGCGGCGGGAGCGGGGACCCCCGGCCGGGCAAAGCGCCGGGAGCGCCCCGGCGGCACCGCGCGGGGCCGGGCACGCCGGGCCGAGGGCTTGCCTCCCCCCACCCTCCTCCTCAGGCCGGGCTGGACCACCGCGGAGGGTGCCCTCGCTCCTCTGCAGCGCCAGGCAGGCACTACGCGTGAGGAACTGCAGCCCCAAGCACAACCTACGGCACTGTAGGAAACGAGAGCTTCAGCAGCAGGCACAGGCAGACTTAGGTAAACCTAAATCTCGGATTGCTTCAGGCAACACAACTGCGCGTTCAAACTCCCTGAGCCGCCAGGGCTTAGGAGAGGAGGCTATTTCTGGTTCACCTGAGCATCACCACGACACACCGCCTCGACCCCTCTGCGATAAACCTCCCGCTGCCCCCAGCACGCACACACTGCTTCTCACCCATGAGCTCTTAACACCGTGATTCCCCACTGGCTACAACAAAGTAGCACTCACGACCTGTCAGTCGCCGGTCAGTCACCACACAACATACACACCTGGTGCAATACAACATGATATTGGAATACCAAAGGAGAAAGGGTGGTGTTAGCTGTGAGATTATTGTTGGGAGGATTACTCTGTTGGGCATACTCGTGGCTAGCTATCTTGCCGTGGTGCCATTCTCTACTGGCATCTACCTTAGGTGAGCCCTTGAGACTGATTCCTAAACAAACTAGGAACACTCTTTTTTTTTTGTCTGGTTTTTTTTTTTTAATTGAGGAAAGAAGTATTTTAAACATCTATTACTAGTTTATCAGTATGGCTGCAAATCTAAACTAAAATTAATTCCAAGTGAAATCCACACTAGGCAGGCACCTGATGTGACTCATCTAAGCACATCTTGTCTTTGCCATAATTTCTGCCCTGATGAGCCAATGTAGGCCTTACTTGACAGTATCTTTTAAATATTAGATTCTGCAACTATAGGGTAACAGAATCAGGATCTGAATGTGTGCTTGTTCTCCTCTGTCCAGTTTTGTCAGCCTTTGGTTTTGCTGTAAGTAAGGAGCTGAAAGTCTCAGGACTGACCTCAGTTTCTGGTTCCATAAAGGTTATTACAGATTAGCAGTCACTTATTGCCTATTGGCAGTCACTATGCATGCACAAGATTTAAATACCTGTCTTACTGTCTGATTGAGGGAAAAATATTTTAAACTCGTAACATTCTTCTGCCTGCTGTTTTAAGAGCAAACTGTACCTCAATCCATAAAGCTAGCAAAACTACTTCAGCTCAAAAGACTTCTTTCATTTTAGCACAAAAGAAATAAAACAGATAAAAGATCTCCCACCTTTACTCCCAGGAAAGCTCTAACTAGACTAGTCGAATCTAAGGGAATAGTCCTAGGACTCTTAGATAACATCCTGTCTCGGGAGGATGAAGACCAGAGGCATCTTTGTCACTCAGAAGGTCCTTCACCACTTTGCAAGTGTGTTCATCCTCACCACTCTGCTCTTAATTCAACCTCCCACTTCGTCTGTCTGCCTTTCACTGTCCCCACTCTCTTTGACAGCACACTGTAAGAGAAGTTTGCACATAGAGTGATTTTCTACAATTGTACAGTATTTTCTGACCACTCAGCCTAGTTTTTTACTTCTCACATGACTCTTTCTTTTAATAGGCTTTCTCACCTCTCCTTTTACCTAAACAGAAATTATTAACATTTTTGCAATGCTCACTCCTCTTTCAGAAAGTGCACAGACAAAAGAAGCAGCTAACCTGTGAATGTGGGAGCAAAATCTCATCCCAGCAGAAGTTCTAAACTCCCACTGGCCTCAAGAGAGGAAACACTGTGACAAAAGACACATCTTTAACATCCAGATCACAAACTGCATTTGGACAACTCATTTGTGCACACAAATTGTTACCGCACCTAAAGTTGCTGCCAATAAATTCAGGTAGGAACTGTAGCTGAACAAGGTTCATTTGTAAGAGACAGGTCCCAGAGATGTGATAATACCAGACAGACTTTTATCAACACATCAGCATTGCCTAATAAACCTTCTTAATGTATATTTGTCACTCTTCTTATGAATGGCAGCTTTGGATGGCTCATATCTCTCCTGCAGTCACCCTGAAAATTGCTCTCTGTAGAAAATTAGAAGTGTTAAAAGAGGCAAAACTACACTCTGTGACAGTATACTGAAGCAAAGAGGCTGGGGAAAAATCAGCAGGCACACAGAAAGCTCACCCACTACTTTTACCTTTCCAGATGAGGGACTTCTGTGACATCTCCTTTGAAGAGTGTTTCGCTTACATCCCTTAAGCCATTGGCGATGCCTTCACCACATCCCTTCACCTCCCTGTCAGGGACATCTGTCTGCCCCACGACTGATGTCCTATCTAAGAACTGTCCACCTTCCTTCATGCGCTGCTGGATCATGGGAGTGAGTGGCATCTCAAAGCTGAAGTAGCTATCGGGCTCCGAGTACAATGTCTCCAGAGATTCTGCACTGTAGTACAAAGATGCATTGTCTAGGATGTTTTCAAACTGTGAGCTGTACAGATCAGTGGAGACGTCAGAGTGCCTCTGCCCAAGGAAATCTTCATATCCTCCTGTGGTGGCTTCCCGCTCCTCCACCATCCTGAAAATTAACCAGAAACAGCTCATTTCAGTTTGGGGGCAAGGTTTAGACTTTGGGCAACTGTTCTCACTTTCCGCCTTTCTGAGCAGAAAGGTCAATGCAGCTTTATGCAAGAGAGGGCACTGCAGGTAAAATGCTGGTTTCTCCTTGCACTACCTCTCTTTATGACTGGCATCATCTCCCTCTCCAGGGACATAGAAAGAAACAATTTTCTGGGTAAAAGAAGAGGGCTGGGAGACATCCTAGTATTGTCTAACAGATCAGCTGCCTACGTGCAAAAGAGAAAAGCACACACAATGCGTAAGATCTATCCTAGCACCAGTGCCAAGCCAGAGGCTGCACATGTTGGAGATGTGTATCCCAATAGAGTCTCTGCCCCTGAAGGATAATTTGCTATCCCTGCAGTCCTAGGACTGGGGTCTTCAGCAAAAAGCTGAAGGAAATCACTCCAAAATGCAAAGGGAAGCACGTGCAATTAAAAATATGGAGTCTGGGGAAATAGATTTGAAGGGAGAAGACTCAGCCTGCTTTCTGATGCAAGGAAAGGTATGCCATCCCCCTGAAGAGTTTTCTTCTCTGATGCACCAAATACTGTGGGGCTCCTCAACATGCCAGAGGTTAGAGTAGCCAGCCCAAGTAATCCCCTGCACTGGCAAAACTCCACAGATACAGAGGTGCAGAGGCAGGAAAGCCTCCCTTGTAGAGATGTTGTCTCATCAGTACACAACTCTCCAGGTGAAAGTGGGCATGGTTTGCTCAGAGCGCACCAGTGGAACCCTTTGTTTTGTCAGAGATGTGCATCAGGAAAGAAAAACAAGCAAATCAGGATGCAAAGCAGCCCGCCATTCTTGCAATATGTACTGCTAAAATGATATAAACACAGATAGATAGATAGATAGATAGATAGATAGATAGATAGATAGATACTACCTGTCTCTCAGACAGATAATATAGAAAGCACATATTGTAACATTTATCCTCCTATTATCTACATATCCCTGGATAAAATGTCTTTATTATCCAACCATTCAGAGGTTGTCAGACTGTTTTTGCACAAACTCTGAATGAAACAAGAAAATCTGTTCAAGTACGTGTGGCCAGGCTTGCATGCCAACTGTATTTAAATACATGGCATGTCCAGATCTCAATTACACCTGCTACAGATGCTTCATCACAGAGACATCACTGCGCAAACAGAAAGACTTCTTACCTTTACATTTCAAAACCTGAGATGGACTGCAAACTTCAGTAAGATGGTATGAAGTGGCTTCAGTACCAACTTCAGGCACTAGCCAACCACCAACCATGTAAACCAGTACGGTAAACACCACACCACAGACAGCAGACAAATATTTGCTGCTTCTTATTAGCTCCTAAGCAGGTAGGCACAAGCCACATGCCTAGACAAGAGAACCCCTGCCTGACCCCTGCTCCCCTCTTAGCACCAGCTCACCTGCCCTGGCCTCTTGCAAGCATAGCCATCTCCTCCTCATCACAGTTCTTCCTCCCCTTCACAGAAACTTCATCCTTCCTGCCTTCTTCGAGCAGTGGTAGAGGAGTGGCTCCAGAAGCAGCAGGTTCCAGCCTCGTGTCTTCACAGACCTCACTCCATGCACTGTCTGGCAAGGAAAGCAAGGCTGGGGAGATCATTGGTGACACAGGGTGGCTGGATGTTTTGCACAATGCCTTCCTCTCCACAGACACAGAGTCCAGCAGTGAGTGCTTCTTTCTTCTCTGCTCCTCAGCTTTTTGCAGCCATAAGATCTCCACACCTTGAAATTCTACATGTTTACTCACAGCTGCCTCTTTAGCAAGCCTTCTCTCGGTACCTGTTTGCATTTTGCCTTGACTGTACTCTGAAAACTCCTCAAAACGTGTCCCCCTCTCCAGTCTGCTGACTGCTTCCAGGTTTGTCACAGATGGCTTGTGACAGCTTGGTTCCTGAGCTCTGTGGACCTCCTCTGCTTTATTACTTATGGCTTGTGAGGATTCAGACTGCTTTTCTCCAGCCCGTACTGAAGACAGATCTTTCTCTATGATCAAATACTTTTTTTCCTCAGCTGTTCCTTCAGATGGAAGAAGCACGTCTGAGAGTTTTTCTTGGCCTGCTGGAACTGGCTCTCTGGCTGCCGGCACATTTTGGCTGCCAATAACACTCTTTTTTTCCATTTGCGTCTCTGAATCGAGAGAAGTATTTGCTCTTTCTTGCACCTTTGTTGCTTCTAGCTGTCGAGAGATTTTCATGATCTCTGGCAGATTACCGGTGGGTTGCAAACCTTTTTCTGGGGTGTGAAGCTGCACTGCCCCTGCATCAGGCCTCAAATTACCAGCAGGAGCTGCACACTGAGGAGTAGGCCTGACACATTGGGGACTGTCCCGTCTTTCTGGACTGCGTGTCACAGGCTCAGCCTGGCACGTCGATGGAGCCGATGGTGCTTGTCTGCTCGACTCTGCAGTGCCATACTCTGGAAATTCATTGATGATGGTATGAGGAGGCAAACTGCTGCTTCCACGGCCACTACCTGCAAAGTAAAAGGAGAGAGACCCTGGATTTATCTACCACAAGCACAAAGCAAAGAGTCTGATCTCTCTCCCCGGCCTGCTCCTAACAGAGCAACAATGCTCTCCCCTGCAGGGCAAATACTTTAGTTTAATTCACTTCTGCTCTCACACTGCAGTTATCCAAGGCTGGTCCTTTTACACAGGAGTTTTTGGGCGGCCCTACTTTGGGAGTCTGCACTACAGAGGAAGGAATGCCAGAAATGTCTGCTACACTTCACAAAAGGTCCCAATGGCACGTGAACAGTCTGAGGCCTCAGGCCAGGCCACAGGCCAGGCCACAGGCCCAAGAAAGCAGAGATTCAGATGTCTGACATTCATCCACAGCATGCACCACCCATGATGGTTTTACTTAAAAAAGACACTACACATGATGGCTTGATGCTTTCAGGTAATTTGCACTTGTAAAGGTGAAATACTGGGAAGATAATCAGCCACACCTCTTATTTTCTACAGCCTTAGCAAAACTAATTTGCTAAATTACAAAGTAATTAATGAGCAATTAAACTTTCTGCCAGCACTACTCTCTTCCTTTAACAACTCAGGTAGCTGAAGGTCATGTTGCAGTGATGGATACCCAGCAATGGACATTTCCTACTGCAACAAGTACACTGCTGCAGAAAAACCTTGCTACCCCTCCCTTCTTTGTGCTTTTCCAACTGATGTAAACAAAGAAGAAGCAAAAATGGGTGGTCCCATTTTCCAAGCGCCAAGCACTCAGTAGCTCCCATTGTTTCGAGGTAACAGAGAACCATCTGTCCAAAGGGACCTCAGGGATCACATAATGACAGATAATTGCCCACCTTATATCACAGCTCAAGGCGGAACTGAGCTCTTGGGGGAAAAAACCCCAAAACAACAATTAAAAAGCCAACCATCAACAGCTGCATTTGTCCCACTCCTGCAGGGTAAAAAAAAACAAAAACAAAAAAGAAACAAAAACAGAAACAAAACAAAACAAAACAAAACACAAAAAAAACCCCCACCACCACCAACAACAACGAAAAAAACCAAACTGGCCTGGAGTATAAAAGTGTTTTAAATCAAACTGAAGGGTGGCCAGACCCAAACATCCACTTTGAAAAGCATCAGAGGTGACAGCTCTGAAACCAGACACCAACTTGAATTTAAATGGTTTGGTCCCAAGGTGCACCTCTAGGTGCTGCACTGCAAACTAATCCCCATCTCTGCTCCAAGTAGGCCGGCCAAGGTCTGTTTCTGAGGCAGAAGCCATGTAGCTGTGGTTAATGACAGGCTGAGTTCAAAGTGAAAGAGAGGACAATCTAACACAAGTTCAGAACCGCATTAATATGGCTATCTATGTGCCAGTGGCTTGTTAAGGTAAGCAGAAGCTCACACCTGCCAGTATATCCCAGTATATCTAGCCACAGGGAAAATACCACACACTGGGCGTGGTGCACGATCAAAATTACAGTCTGGACTCTGCCAAGCCTCAGAATCTTCCCCAGTGGGTTCTCCAAATGTCTCCATGCCATTTACTTAATCACTATATGATAAAAATTCAGCTTCATCCAGACGATTTGGTTGCTGTCCAGGACAGTGACTGGATAAAGCAGGGACCTTTTCTTTGCTGCAAGGTCCCAGGGAGCCATAAGGAACAAGGATGCCCTGTCCACAATTGCATCACCAGCCCATGTTCATGGCAAGGTTTCCAAAACACAGGTGTGGGAGCACCCACTGTGCTTTTCCTTAGTGTCTGAACCAGCAGACAGCCTCCTTTGCACACAACTCAACCAACAGTGCTTGTGTGCATCTCAAGCCATACTTTCCATGGCACAAGCACTAGGCTGACACTGTGGGGCACTTTGACCAGGACAGACTCACATATGACAGTGATGCGCTGTGGTTACAATGTCCTTACACCTGCACCAGAAAAACTCCAGGCAAGCAACCTCAAGCGGCTTTCTCACCTCACAATCCTTCTCTAATGCAGAAGATTTAGTGCTTGCTGCTCACTCAGCACGGTCTAGAGGAGGGATTTCTTAGGAAAGGACTAATAGGGAGCGTGTCATTATAGATGCTAACATAAACCCTTCTTGGTGGACATATCCACCCACAAGCAATGCTTAGTGTGTGCCCTCAGCATTGTGGGACAGCACTTGGCCAGGCCACTGCCCAGGCCACACACTCTGACTGTACTGCATGAAGAAAGGGAATACATAGCGCTCTAAGAGCTGGGACCCCCCAGGCCTCACTCCAATCCACACATCCCGCCTTGTTGGAAGGAAGCCTGGAGTGTCAGCCCTGGCCTCCTGTGGGGCTGGGAGATAGCCAATGTGCTCCAGAGGCCAAGCCCTAACAAGGCTCCGCACACAGATCCTGCCAAGGGGCCAGGCTCGTCTCTGCTAATTGCTATCTTAGCTTCTGAACCAACACGAGGGAAACAGAGGGGGCCTTATTTCTTGTGGTGAATGCTAAATGCTCTTCTGCGCGTCCCCATCTGCCACTGACAGCCACTGCCGACGGTGGAAAGAAATCTTGAGCAAGTTTCTGATTTACTTCTCCTCCTGAACTTCACAGTCTGGCAAGCCCATCAGACTCCAGAAGAGGTACACATACAGAGCACATACCTGTACACTCAGGCACACAGAGGTGTCCAAAGGGAGAGAGAGTACTTAGATGTACTCCCCTCTGCCACACCTGCAGGCTGTGCTCCATCTGAGCAAGAGAGTAATGCTATCACAGTAGAAATGTAATGCCTTTTCTGAAATGACATGTCAGCAGCTGTCCTTTGGACAGACTGCTGTTGCTGCTGTCACTGTTGTATGCAAGTACAAGTCAGTGGGATTCTTGCCTTTCATGCAGGAATATAGCCTAATTCTCTGTATGATTGAAAAAACTTCCTGTATGACATCAAAGCAGGGTTCTGTCACCATTATGTTAGGTACCACCATGCACATGACTGCCAAGGTCTCTATTTCATGAAATAAACCATGACCAATCCACCACTCTCTCCCAAAACTGCAAAACCTTCCCCTTTCCTCAGAGAGCTATTTCAGGTACAAGAGCTTAGGGGAGCTTGAGCTCTTTAAGGGAAACTCCTCCCTTATTCCCATCCACCACCACAGCATCATGTCTTGCTGCAGCTACTGGCATATCCTGTCTAACCCCATCCCCCAATATGACTGCATTACAAACAAGGATAGAAAGAAAACAACAAAATTTAAGGACTGCACTGAAGATGCGCAGGGAAAAAAAATACCCATCATCAAACAAACAAAGAAAGGACACACACTTTCAGGTAACACAAATTTCTACTTTGCATTGAAGGTGGCTTCTTTCAACAAATGAAAAAAAGGAAAAAAAAAAGGAAAAAAAAAGAGAAAAGAAAAAAAAGGACAGGGGAAAAGCTAAAATAGAAAGGGGGTGAGTGACTAGAAAACTGAGACCGGGCAAATATAACCTAATAGCATTTGGCAGCCTTTCTGATGACTAGACGTTGAAAGAATTAATGACTTAAATCAGGCATAGATATGATATTTCATAGGTAAATAACCATTCCATGTCAAGCAAACTTGTCTACAGCATAATAAAAGGAAATTCTAGGAAGCAAAACACAAGTTAAAAGCATAGACAGACATTTTGTTTACAGGTACATTTTAAAAAAGAATGGTGTGAGTGTCTCTCTCTATACAGTATATATATATATATTATATAGCTCGAGAAATTAGATATATTTGCTTGAACAGTCTCCTTACTCACAGAGGTTACTGTAGCTCCAGCAGTTACCCATTGGTCAAAGAAATAAAATGCAAAGATCATCAGTTTATCTATAGCGATACCAGCTAATTCAATTGCTGCTGTTCTAGTCAACTGGAATCAAAATAGTTTCAAATTTCCTGGCAGCTGCTGCCCTGCACTGCACACAATGATGTAAATGGATGCTTTCTGAGTATTATGAAACTGATGGGGGAACTGCAGTCTCATTCAGTCTATCGCAGGAGCTAAGGAGTCCACCTTGGCAGCTTGCAGGGGGAAAAAAAATCTTCCTCCAGCAAGGCTGCCTGACGGCATGCCAGGGATACGTCTGTGCTTAGCTGCCGTTTTTGTAACTGCGTCCATAAGGGGAGAATCGGGCAGAATGGCGATGCTGAGAGTCATGTGCTGTTTCAGAATGCAGGATGCTTTATGGCATTTCAGCATTAGTGAGCTGGAAGCATTCACTAAGCAGCCCAGTCATCCTGCATTTTATGTCTCTGCAGCTCCTTGCGCAGATCACAAGTAGCACGTGGGTGAGCTTGCATGCAGCACCATATCAGTTACGCTTTCCTGGTATTCCTGCCACCATTTGTAAAAGGCAAATTAGGGAAGTAAAAAACAATGTATGCATTAAGATGAGACAAATCTCTAGGTCACAGAGCTTAATGAACAAATCACAGGATTTATGGTATTGTATCACTACTGCAGCCTGCCAGAGAGGAGGGTTACACACATCTCCTTGTCCTGCACTGCATCGTGTTACATCTTCTACAGTCACTAAAACTATTCCAATTGATAAAGCAGCCTTCTCCTGCTGAGATGGAGCAGCCATCCCCTATAAAAGGGGAGGGATGCTGCATAGCTTCTGGCAGCCTCATGCAGCAGCCCTTTTTCCAAATGATGTCATTCTCCATGCTGCAATAGGTTCTGCCTGGCCAGAGTAGCCAAAGCCAGGGGATTAACATAATGCAAACACGGGGCTTTTGTAACTGGACTGCAAACATCCACACTGGACTGGGCACAGGATTTTCTGCAGCTTGCAGACACTCCAGGCTTTTGGGCAGTTTGCTTACTCCAAAAAGGAGAAGCAGAGGCAGGTCTTCATCCCGTCGAAAGTTACAGCAGCATTATGTAAAAACAACAAGTTGGTGGAAATGGGGAAGCTGAGTAAAAGTGAGAGGCAGAGGGAAAAGGTTGGGGAGAGTTGCCTAGAAATAAATCCTGGTGAAATGCCTCTATGCCTTAGCAAACATGCAGGGAATGTAAAGGGGAATAGAGGTATGACAGAGCTCTTGCAGGAAAATTGACCATCTTGGCTGAGATCCCTCACCCCAAAAAGAGACAACCAGAGGGACTCCTTGCTGTGGTCACTGGGAAGTTTGGCACAGAGCCCAACAGCACGCACAGGCTGTGTGTTCTTTGCAGTCCGTGCTTGAACAGCCACACAGTGTGTGAAAGCCAGTGGCTCAGGGTTACCCAGAAATTAAACTTATTTGTTCACAGAAAAAATAATCCCCTGCATGCATAGAGGGGCAGTATGTTCCTCAAGAAATCATACACCCACAGCTTCCTGCATACTGGAAGAGATTCACAAAAAGATACTGCCCACCACTGCTCTTGTGTAGTTCCCTAAATTCTGGGGGTTTTGGGCTACCAGAGACAGTACTAGATGAAACTTCAGTCTGATGTAGGACAACCATGCCCATGCTAGGTAAATCTGTGATGAATCTCTGCTAGCTAGTGCTGGAGTCTAGTAGGATATGATGATGCTAAGTTGTCACTGGTTTGGAAAAGAGTGAGAAAAGACACTAGGATAAGAACATAAATCCTGTGCCTCTTTGAGAGTTTGTGTGTATTTTTTTTACAACTGCACAAGGCCTAGCCCTATTCCTGATGGAAAGCTTTATGAAAGCAATACTGTGACTTGGCTGCATATTTTTCCCCAGATTTTAACTAATTCCCAGTGGTAAATAGGGTTTGGGACCCCTTTAATAACCCCAACTGCACTGAATTAACTGTCCTCCAAAGAGCCCTGGACCTTTCCCCTGGTTGCAAGAAGGATGGCACCTTGCTGCAGTCACTCACAGGCCTACAGCGAGCTCAAAACAGGACAAAGTCCAAAACTAACATGCAGCACGTGCTGAGAGGATTTAGTGTGAGGGATTATCCACTACAAATTGCTGTATGGGCCACAGATGGTCAGTGAGATAGCTCAGTCCCAAGAGTCATTACCCTGGAAAGCAAAATGGTAGAGTGGAACAGCTGCTAGCATGAGTAGGAACAGGAGGGAAAATACAAAGGGAATATCTGGACTCCTTATCCTGACATAAAAGTGCAAGTGGGTCTTAGAATATTTAATGCCCTTTTCTTCTTTGAAGTTCCACACTCTGGAATTCTATGGCTGTGAGAATCTCAAGTTTTCATTTCATTTTATTATGTTTGGAGAAGTCTGAAACCCAATATGCAAACAACAGATCCAAAAAGAATCTGAATTTTCTATTTTTCTGCTGCTGTAATTTAGAAAGGAAGTAGCTAACAGATTTTCTAAGTGTAGATATACACAGTAATTAGCAAGAATTACTTTAAAAGCTCTCTAAGAGCCTTCACCTGAAGAAAAAACTTCTGAAGCAGTGACAACTCACAGCTGTTTTGACACTTTCAGCATCTACAATGACTTTACAGCCTCTCTAAATTCACTTATAATTAATGTTATATATTTTAAATACTGTATTTTTCAATAATCCTCTCAAAACCCTTGGAAAGTTGCTTTGAGTGAGCAAAAACGGCTTTAAAAATCCATCACTTGTAAGCACAGATCTCAGAAACATGGGATTTCTGTAGATCCAGAAACCAGACACACCTGCAGAAAAGGATGTCCTTTACTACTTTTCAGAGTTTGGGACCAATTAACCAATCTGAGAGTAGTCTTGCTAGGCAGTTCTTAAAGCACCCTAGGAGATGGATCTCAAGTTATGTGCCCAGCTAAAACAAAAATAGGGCACAGAGGGATGTGTGTATCTCCCAGGCTCCAAGTGTTTGTTGCTAAAGGTGCTGTTGGACATTGCATAGTAACTTTTCAGCAGGCTCTTACAGCGAATGAGACTCCCTTCCCCCAGATGCTGGGCAGAGTTAAATAAACAACAGAGGGATCTACGGCAGAAGGTACCTGTTAAAGCAGTGAACTGTGAACAGGAAAAATACAGGCTGTACTCTGTGTTACACTCTTTCAGTCCAATACCAGGCCAGAGCTGCACCTACCCACATAATTTTATTTAAATGTCTTCTCTGTGTGCACATCAAGAGCAAGTTAACATGCATAATTTCCTTCAGAAAGCTTCAGAAATGAAGCAAGGCTACAGCACATTAGAGGGTCTGTGTGGGTGTGCTGCAGATCTCACCAGATGATGGGGCTGAGGCCAAGGAGAGGAGGCAATGGTGGTGACAGGAAAAAATGCATCTGTGTCCCACTGTACCTGCCTATAACAAGCTAAATCAGCTGGCTGAGCCTCTCCTGTTGTGCCCACTGATCTGGATGCCCCATTTTCTGTCTGCCTGATGGAAGGGCATGACCTGCCTGTCTCCAGGAAGGTGTTGCTGAGTCCTGCCAGCTTCAGCTGAATTCAGCCTGTGCCAGGTGTACTCAGAGCATCTGATGTGGCCAGATGCTGACAGATTGCCAGCGCCACCAGATCCACAAATATTTGTGTGCTCCCATCAGCATGGCTCTCAGCTTCAGCCAAAAGAACACAGACAGGGAGACATCTACTGCCTTAACTCTGGTATTTCCTAACTTCTGAGTGCTTAATTCTGCACCTTTAAAAAACAATAAACAAACAGTACATGTTTTAATGATTATTTGTACTAAACTCTTGGCCTTCAAACAACTCTGTTGTTTAGAAAGTTGAGGATGTGGTAATCTCCTCCCTACAGCTGTAGGTTATGATAACTTGATCTATCCAGCTTTCAAGTGCAGATCACAAGACATTCAATTTCCTCCTGTGGAGCAAGGGACTTAGGATAATGCCTTGTGCTCCCTTTAGTTTTCCTGCCCCCTGGACTGGAAACCCATGCATCCATCACACCACACCTGACAGCTCCAGAGCATGCCTCAGTTTCTCCCAATCCCAGGAGGCGGGACTAAGAAATTCAGGGGAGATAGCAAGACAGTTCCACCACTCCACCTCTGCAGCCAAGATGCAGAGCACAATGGAACCTGTCCTTCTGCACCAGCATTTATTTTTCCATGTGCTCTTCAGAGCATCCAAAATGACCTGCTTTACTCCATGCTGGAGTGAAAGAGGAGCACTCAGCGTGGCCAGTGAACATGCTGGTGCCAAAGAGGTAATTACTTCCTACAGTGCACAAACTCAAGTGGAAAAGTATCTTCCAATACAGTACCTCTGGAAACTTAAATTTAAAAAGTTAACCTTCTTTTTGCATCATTGCCAATCAGCAATGCCAAACATTGGGGATATTTATGAGGAAACTACTGATTACACACTACGGTTTTAAAACTCCTGCAGGATTTCTGTATGTCAGAAAATGCAGTGGGACACTAGAAACAACAACAACAACAAGCTGATAAAGTCAAATATGCACAACAGGATTATGGACTTTTAATTATGTGAGAGAGGGGTACCACAGCTCTGAGCTTTCTGTATTCCAGCCTTGTGTGTGCTCCTGGTGAACACTGCAGGACATCTGATGCGCCAATCCTTCACCATAATTAAGCAAAATTAATGTGAAAATCAGGCAGTCCTCCAATCCTCAGAAAATGCAGTTTTGCACTTCTTAAGCAAAACATAGCTGCAAAGGAAGATACCAGACCAGGGAGCCTAGACTTTCAGGATTGCCTGGAGATGGAAAGAACACGAGATGAAAATATAGCAAAGGGGTGGTGCCTCAAAATGGAAAACAACAGGGTTGGAGCACTGGGCAAGACTACAGTCAGCACTCTGGGCTATCATGAGAACAATGTAATAATGAGTGCCGGTGGTCTAAGGGCAGTTCCTGCAGGGAGGATCAGGAAGGTGCCATTTCCATGCAATGTGAGGGGGATGCAGCAGAGCTGGACATGTGCACCTTGAAGTAACAGAGCAAACAAGTGAGATAGAAAGTATGTCAGTGATGCTCACTTTATACAAAGATACTGGGATCACTTTCTTAAAGATGTTTAAATCAGAAATGTAAGAACCCTGAAAAGGCTTTACTTTTACAAAATAGCAGCCATTGTGTCCTTCCTGTGCTCTTGAAAAACAGTTCTAGATATTCTAAAGCAAAAGCAATCATTTCTTCGATTGCAGTTCAGGAACAGGTATGTTGCATGGGTCAAAGTATGTGTTTGATTTTCTTTCACGTGTCAGATCTGGCATTGTTTGACCCCTTGCAATGGTGATTCAGCACACATTGCCAGAAGAAAATAAGCCCTTTTTTTAGAATTGTTCTTTTGGCATTATTTTGGGGGAGTCTGTTACAGTTTTTGCTGGCTTGAGCTTGCTAAGTACACAGATGAGCACAAGAACGAGCATGAGACAACTGGTGGCAGTGTGTGTCTGGGACCATCTCTTGGCAGAAGCAAGATGTTAAATGAGCTCAGTTGCCTCATGACACCTCACTGAACACAAAACAGCAAGTGACAGGCTTTCCAAAAAGCTATTTGTTTCACCAGGAATTCAAAACCAAGCTTCTTCCAGCAGCTGTTGGGAAAGACCAGATTTGCATAGCAACACAGGCAGTATTTGTACAGAGCCTTTTTGTGAAGGATGAGATTAAACCTCTGGTACACAGGAGGGATGAAAGCTTTCTCCTTTCAGAAGCATCAGAGATAAGACCGTTTATTAATCTTAAGAAGCTATTTTCTTCCTAACAACAGTCTTGGATTTATTTTCTCATATAACAGGAATTATGGGGTATTTGGCCCTCATGTTTATTTAAAGAATTATTTTGTAGTATCCCCCAATTTTTTCCCCCAAGGAAGCACTTTTAAGACTAAAAAAAAAAAGTCATGTGGCCATAACTTTTTTTTTTTTTCTTTTTAGTATTTAAATGTATTAACAGCAAAGTCATAAAAATCAGACCTGTAGCACAGCCAAGCCTGAAGAAAGTCTGCTCAATAGAGATCACTGTTTCCACGGCAGTTTCCAGAGAAGGAATGTATGTTTCCACATACAACAAGCGGCCTTTTATGTCAGTGAGTCTGAGAAGACGTCTTGTCCAACCCAGCTAAATTCAGTTTCTAAAAAACATTTTCTTTTGCTGGAAAGCAGAAGGCTGGGGTTTCGCCAAGGAAGGTGGCCAGGCTGTGCAGGGCCACGTGGACAAGTGTGGTGCATCCTCCCTGCTCTCCCAGCGGGAGGGGTCTGCAGGGAAATGCGTGGTCTTGAACCCTTCCACAACAGGAGGGTCCCAGGGGGCTTGGACCTGCTTCTGCTCCAAGTAATGCATGCAGGGCAGGAGGATGGGCAATGGACAAGAGAGGAGAGGGCCCAGTCAACAGGCATCATGCATTAAAGTCAAGAGAACATTAGGGCATCAGTGATCACAAATATCCCAGATAAAATCAGACTGAAGACCGCAAAGGAAAATGTTTTATATGTGACAGCTTTATTAGCATTTGAATATCGTTGATGAAACATCTCTTCAAAAGCCATCTAACTTTTTATTTTCCCCCCCTCTCATTTTCTCAACTGAAAATGACCAGCAGTTTCAACCTGGAAGGTAAAAATCAGCACAGAGCTGCCATCTCCCACCTGGGTAAACAGAAGTGTTTCTCACAGTCACCCCACTTAT